CACATACCCTGTCAGGATCAGATTGTCGTCATGAGGGTTCCAATCGACACAATGAAGATCAGCATCGTGTGCCTTTTCAACCTGGTAAACACAAAAAAAAAATATATAAGATAAGAGAAGGAAAAACTACACACAAAAATTGAAAGGATCAAAAAGATACAGTACCTTCGTGACAGGGCTAGTTCCTGTTCTTGCATCCCAAAGTATAAGGCAAGAATCGTCACCAACACTGCAGAATTCTTGTGCACTACACGGCATAAAAATTCACATCATCAGAAATGCATGGAAATAAAACACGATAACAAAAGGAGGAGACTGTTCTAAGAAGTTACCTAGTTGGGCTGAATGCCACATCTTCAACCGTGTCGTCATGGCCGTGGTATACACCTCGCGGGCCAACAGTGGGACTCTCAGTCTTGTCACCGCCTTCACCAGTCTGTTTGATGATAGATCCGGATGATTTGGATTCTGTACCAACAGATGTGATGTGATCCTGGATACTCCACAGAACAACTGACTTGTCCTTGCCTAAGAGAAGAACCTTTGTATGAGAAACTGGCAAACCACAAGATCAACAGATTCAACACTACAAATCACAGAAACACAAACCTCCAGAGAGGACAAAGGGTTCGGTTGAGCACATCGCAAGAGCAAATTCAGCATTATCTTGGTGTCCAGTTAGTATCTGCAAGACAAATGGTTCAGAATTCAGATGATGCAAAAGAGATGTATGATGAGATTAAGACAAACAAGAACAAAGCACAATCAATGATTTGCAACGCCATATTTCAGAAGTGGGCATACCAAATCCGGACGGGAGTTTGCAGCTCCAAGCACAGCATGACGGTTTGGTTGGGTTTCAACATCCCAAATGAGAACCTGGAATCCACATATTGTATTCAGATAAATGAGTCCAACATACTATTTGAAGTTGCTATGACTATGACCATAAAAAATAGAAGAAGCAGCGCTTACATCAGGACTGTCGGTGTGAGTAGCGACAATCTTACTGTTTTGTGGGAGTTCCCTGATTCTGTTAACCTGCAATAGCAATTCGGTGATATACACATCAAAACAGGATTTTACTTTCATCATAGTGCCAAATGAGCAAATTCATGCACCAATTTAAACAGTAGTGGATATACAATATTGCACCACAGAGAGCTAGAAGCAACAATGTCGATACAGAGAAATCTAGAGTGGGGAGGAAATCAGACCTCTCCAGGGTGAATGATGGTCTTGAACTTCTTCACAAATGGAGAACGTGCTTCTTCATTGAACTGAAAACGCAATAGCAAAAGATAGTGAACAAATGTCAATACACGAAATCCATTGTAGTGGGGGAAGGATGATAAGGGAAAGGCACAAGATTAGTAGCAAAACCACAAGTTACCTGAGATATGTGCTCTGCTGCAGCGACTCTCGGCTTAACAACTTCGCAGTTCGCTATGACTAGAGTATTGGGCACACTGCCATCAGTCTGGTGGCACAACCAAAGGAAAACAAACAATATGATGAGAGAAAATACGAAATTTTTAGTAAATGAGACAACTTTCTGAAACGTTACTGCAAGAAAGATACAGGAGACAGCAGTAAACCTACTTGTTCTGAGAGGTACAGACGCTGGCGATTCTTGTAGGTCGCTTGTTCGAGCTGTGGACCCCATCTGTTAAAACCAAACAACAAATTTCACCAAATGGAACCTCTTAGCACAAAATCTAAAGACTTCACAGCTAAACATCTGGAAAAAAAGCTAAATTTTCCTCAAAATTGAAACTTGATAACTCAGAATCGAAGGATTATATGAAGCGAACATCAGACGACGATAGAAGTGCATCCAAAACAACAAACACCAAACCCTAACTAGAGCATTTGCAAAATCTCACTAAAACCCAGAAATCGAATACAAATCTGTACATCTCTCCGCATTTTGCCTGATTTAACCGGAATTACAATTCAATCCAAACATCAGAAAGTTTAAAGCTTTTCACAAAATTGATAACCCAACAAAGGAAATTGAGCCGAAGATACGATAGACCACCGAAACCCTAGAAGAGAGAGGGAGAAGAATTGAGGAGAACCTGCAAGAGAGTGAAGGCCAGACGAGGTTATGGTTGGCGAGCCAGTCGTAGAGAATGGGGACGAGACCTTTCCACTGAGTGTACTTCTCGTCGACACTGAGCTGCTGCGTTTTCTTCCCACTCTCCTTCATTTTCCCACCGCTGCTACCGCTCTGTTGGTGCGAAGACGGAGCCTGAGAGTCGTCCTTGGTTTTAGGTTTCCGACCTCTCTTCTTCGGCGCCGGAGTTACGGTTCCTCCGCTGGCTTGAGGAGACGCTGCTGCTGCTGCTTCGTCGCTCTCCATCTTTCTTCTCTTTTTGTTGTTTTGGCTTTTTATTCGATTACTCTCTCCCAGTCAACAATACATTACTGTATCTCTCTACTGCTTTAAATTAAAATACAAAAACGACCACCGTTTCCTTTTATTTTATTTTAATAATTTGGTAAAACAGTAAAATAGATACTTTATTAGATTGACATAAAACTGTCTGAGACTTTGACTAGTAAAATTTATTGTAATGAAAATATGAGATTTTCTGGATTAATATTTTTTGATGTTTTGAAATGCAAGGAACATGATCTGTTGTATGATTTGAGGGATGGCTGAATCCCAACAGCTACAAATCTGATTAGCTTCACTAGACATATAATGAAATATGTACAATTTTGCTTTTGTATGTGATAGTATTGTTACAAGATTTACTTTTTCAGATATTTGAGTTTTCAATCAGCTTTCACCAAGCATTAAAATCCCAAAACTACCAATGAATTTTCTTTGGATCTTGAGTCCTTTTGCATCACCGTGCCCCATACCATGAAATACACGGGTGGCAAATTGACGGCGTCTCGAAAAGAAAACGAAAGAAACTAAGAAATGGCAACCAAACTTCAAAATGATATATTTTGACATTAAAACCAAAAAAAAAAACTTCAAAATGATATGGACAAACTCCACACTAAATAGCATTTATTATTTGCCTAAAACAAATCCATTTGGATTTTAAACTCAACGATGCATTTTCAATTTTCAGTTTTGATATCATTAAACATTGAGCCATTATTATTTAAATAAAAAAAAATACAAATAACTGATACAAGATATATTATATTTTTGATTAAGAGGTGATTTAGTTGGTCTTTGCTTTTTCATGATTAATCTTCTCGTTCAGTTCGTCAAGGTAGGTCTTCCGTGACTGAATCTGCCACATGAGCTTTCGCAGCTTTCCAAACGCACCATGAATCGGATTTTCTGTCCACGCGTTACCTTCCATGAGTATGGTAGATGCCAAATTATATTTTTCTTCTTTAGGGGCAAATTTCATCATTCTAACTATTTGCGTTGTACCAAACAGTGCATGAGCACTTTGATAGTCACCTAACCTATAAATTTTAAATATGTTAGTAGGAATAACAGATTTTAATAATCAGACGTATAATAAAACAGTCTAGCGAATGAAAACAATTAGTATTATATTTTAAAAACTAAATACCATTTAGCTGGGAAATATGGAACAAATTTGCAACGTTTAGTGCATATTTTATTTTCGGTGAAGCACACTCCACATTGATCACGTTTGGCATTACCTCTTGGGACTTCCATCACAATTTTTTTTTTAAATCGAAATTATAATATGATGTTATGCAAGTAAGTGAAAGGTGAATAAAATGATATTATCAAAGAGGTATTTATAGATAAAATCCCTACAAAATACAGTCAAAGAAAACTGATTACATTTCCAAATATAAGTTCTTTTAATTTTCCTTTTGCTAATAGCTATAAATTTCATTTGACTAAACAAACAAAAAAAAGTAATTTTTTTTCGATGACGGGTTTTTATTTGTTTGTTTAGTCAAATGAAATTTATAGCTATTACCAAAAAGAAAAAGAACTTATATTTATATATGGATATGCATTTAGTTTTCTTTGACTATATTTTGTAGGATTTTAACTATAACTATCTCTTTGATAATATTATTTTGTTCACCTTTCAGTTAATTAGATAATATAATATTATCATTTCGATTTAAAAAAAATTGTGACGGAACCACCAATAATGCCAAACGTGCTCAATGTGGAGTATGCTTCACCGAAAATAAAATATGCACTAAATGTTGCGAATTTGCTCCATGTTTCCCAGCTAAATGGTATTCAATTTTTAAAATATTGTGTGAATTGTTTTCTTTCGCTAGACTGTTTTATTATAAGTCTGATTATTGAAATCCGTTATTCCTACTAACATATTTAAAATTTATAGGTTAGGTACTATGAAAGTGCTCATGAACTGTTTGGTATGACACAAATCGTGAGAATGATGAAATTTGCCCCTAAAGAAGAAAAATATAATTTGGCACCTACCATACACATGGAAAGTGTAGCGTGGACAGTTTGAAAGCTGCGGGGATAGATTACTAAACAAACAAATATAATGGATACCATTGCTCTCTTAAAGCTAGAATGGTCTCTCCGGTTTCAGATGCATTGGTCAATTTGGTTGAAGACGACAGGCAGAGAAGACGTGTTGTTGTAATGTATGTTGTTACCAAAGCATATATATGTGAGTGGTGAGATCGGTGACTTTGTAAAATAAGGAACTGTTTGGACGGGAGTTTCGTGAATAAAGTGAGTTAAGCTTGAAAAAGCGAGAGAGTTTGGAAAAAAAGAAAACAATCAGAAAATGAAGAAATTCGATCAGAAAGCAGCGGCGCTCTGATAGGTTGATTCTTATTAATTCCGTTCAGAAGTACAATATTCAGAGACTAATCCTGGTTATATAGTATACACAACTAGGGCAGCTCAAAGAAAAAAATGGATGACGTGGTAGTGGGGCCCGCCCTTTCTTCCCTTGGGCGGTGGAGAAACTTGTGGAGTATGGCTTTTGGCCTTGTTGTTGGGCTCTGAACGGATCTGGTCCGGCCCAATAAAGAGATGACAAACCCACCATTAACCATATACAGATTGCTTGTGTGAGATACTACATGTTTGAAAATCAAAGAAAATCAAGGAAACGTTTTCTGAAGCTGGGAGAGCACCAGACAATAAGAGCATACTAGTTGTGAAACATGCAACCATCCATGGAGAAAAATGCTCCAAACTTTTTCACACTGTGGAGAAGAACAACAAAGTCGTAGACGTGTTGATTCCCACAGCTAACAATCTTGCAAGAACTAGCCAATGAGATATTGGGAACATCAGACATGGACTTTGAACCAGACGACTTTAATTTATGCACGTACGGTCTGGTTGTGGCTGATGGTCGTTAGGTGGTTCCAAGTGTGGCTGAAAAGCTCTGGTTCGTCACAATCAATCCAAAGACCCAAATTGACCAATGGGTCATCAAACTAGAAGCTTGTTTCCATTTCGATCCTTATGGAACTTCTGAGAAGGTTTCATGCAATGCAAGTGGACGAATGGAGATCATCAATTTCCATAACCAAGAGGACTAGATGAGTCGTCGTCTTGCAATTTCTGATGAATTTTGTTCTTGTTTTTAGCGTGCAATCTAGTCAAGGACCTTGTTTTCAGCAATGGCTCCATTATAAATTCTTCTTCTTTTTGGAATTTCTACGTTTTTTTTGCTAATTTAAATAAGAGAATAATTGAAAAGTGAGTTAAAAATCCCTGTATATTAAAACAAAATTACAGCCAAATTACATTTTCATGATTTCAAAATTTAATGTTATATATATTGCTATTTCTGATAAACTTTTGTTTGTTTGTTAATTAGCGTTCAAACTTTTCAAGGACCGCGTTCAGCATTGGCTCTTCAGTAAGCAAAAAAAGTTTAAGACTGACTTTTTAAGCGAGTAACTGAAAAAGCGAGTCTATACATATCAAAAGAAGTATTTATAGATAAATACGAAAAATACAGACAAAAGAAATTATTATACATCCAAACATGAGAATGTGCCTAAATTTGTTCTTGAAGTATAAATTGAAAGCGTTTGAATTTTTCATGATTACATCTTTATCTGTTTTGCCAAAAAATATAAATTTCAATCCACTTCAAAACTTAATGCCATATGCTACATATTGCCACAATCGGATAGATTTTATATATATATTGCCATTAATAGATATATATCGCTAATCTTCCTCACCTTGAAACTACACTACATATTTTATTTTTAGGTGATAACCAATCCATTTTTTTTTTAATAATTGTCTCTCTTCATCCTCCAATCCGAGAGAGTAGAGAAGAAGAAGAAAAATGGCTAATCTGCTTCTAATGAGCACTCTAATCACAATTTTTATTTGCTTATCTTTGAGTTTCACCAAATCGTCAGAGGTTTTTCTACCCAAATCCCTAAACCTCACCCTCCTCACCGATCCTTCCACCATCTCCGCCGCCTCTCACGATTACGGAAACATCACCACCGTGACTCCAGGCGGGGTTCTCTGTCCCTCTTCCACCGCTGAGATATCCCGTCTCCTCCGCTATGCAGCTAACGCCAACGGAGACAGGATGTTCCAAGTGGCGGCTCGTGGCCAAGGCCACTCCTTAAACGGGCAAGCCTCCGTCTCCGGCGGAGTAGTCATCAACATGACGTGTCTCTCTGGGGTGGTGGTTTCGGAAGACAAGAAGTATGCTGACGTGGCGGGAGGGACTCTATGGGTAGATGTGCAGAAGAAGACGGTGGAGAAAGGGGTTTCGCCGGTTTCTTGGACGGATTATTTGCATGTCAGCGTCGGAGGAACGCTGTCAAACACTGGACTCGGCGGCCAAGTGTTTAGAAACGGCCCTCAAATTTGTAACGTCCTTGAGTTGGATGTTATAACTGGTACGCAAAAGCAAACAAATTCTCTATAATATTACTTTTCTTATGGTGTGGCATCTTTAATGTTTTTATAGTTCGACTGCACTTTTTGCACCACACGCAATGGAATCTTGGAAACGAAAAAAATGCGTAACGCATCTAAGATCTTTAATGACTAACTTGGTCATTGCATTTGGTAGTATGCTAATATATGCGTGTATATTTGGAGTTTTCTAATGTTCATGCATGACGCATGTAAACTGAACTTTTTTGGCCATTCCAGAGAAAGTTTGTGCGCTTTCAGTTTCTCCAACTATGATTTTTGTTTTTTTTACTATTTTTTCAAACACATCATCATTACGTCAGGCTTAAAAGAAATTTGAGAAATTGAGGCATTGGTTTAAATATATAATGGATATATTATATATTAAGTTGTTAATTATTATTACGGTTTTTTTATATATTTCAGGAAACGGTGAAATGTTAACATGCTCGCCACAGCTAAATCCAGAACTGTTTTATGGAGTATTAGGAGGTTTGGGTCAATTTGGAATAATAACGAGAGCCAGAATTGTTTTGAACCATGCACCTAAAAGGGTACGTATCATCAAATCTCACCTTTGGTTTCTTTCTACTAAAATCTATGCATTTCCTTTCATGGTCGCTGATCTGGCGCCAAATTAGTGTAATTGATTAGGAAAGTTATTTGACTAGTCTTTGGGATTGGATTTAATTGTAAGTTTGTTCACGGTATTGACAGGCTATAAATGATTCTGGATATATTACGATATTTAGTTGGCCACATATTGGGATAATATTGATAAAGAAATATTTCGTGATTTTACACAAAGAGAGTTAGAGACGTCTGGATCACTTACGAAAGTTTCTTATATGGTAGCCCAAAACTATGATTAGGTATATAAGTAATTTGGTACGATTAAGGAATCTAGTCAAAGGCTCAATTTGCATTCATTTGAACAAAATCTATGCGTTGAATGAAAAAAAGGATATGGCTTATATTTTGTTTATTATACAATAATATACAATCCTAGGACTTGTTATTGTCAAATCTTGACGTATGCTTGCAAATCTAACTGATGTGAATCAATAATATTATTTTATTATAGTCAAACTAATTTTTTGGTAGCTTAATAAAACTTCTTAATTAGCAGACTAATTATTCACTTAAATTTTGTAATCTAGACTACAAATTTTTTTGGTGAGATTGTTAACTAGCTGAATCTTACAACGTAAGACAATAATATTACAAAATATGTGAAAACAATATGGTTTATTTGTAGTGGTATTTTTTTTTACATATGTGTTACTGTGTTAATTAGAAGTGAACTTTTCGAATGAAATATTGGTGTAGGTGAAATGGTTTCAGATGCTGTACAGTGACTTCACAGCTTTTACAAAAGACCAAGAACGTTTGATATCAATGGACAATGATATTGGAGTTGACTATTTAGAAGGTCAACTGATGATGTCAAACGGCGTCGTAGACACCTCATTTTTCCCACCGTCCGATCAACCTAAAGTCGCCGATTTAGTGAAGAAACATGGTATCATCTATCTCATCGAAGTCGCCAAATATTACGATGATCCTAACCTTCCCATCATTAGCCAGGTACTACAACTTACATATGGTCCTTTCTTACATGTAACATCAATCATTTTGCACCACGTACACATATCCGTTATCAAATATGATTCACAATATAAATTTTTAATTATTTTTGTAGGTGATTGACAAGTTAAATAATTCTTTTAGTTACCTGCCCGGGTTCATAACAATGCAAGACGTGCCCTACTTTGATTTCTTGGACCGCGTAAAAACCGAAGAAGAGAGACTTAGAGCATTGGGTTTATGGGAAGTTCCTCATCCATGGCTTAACCTCTACATCCCTAAATCTCGGATTCTTGATTTCCATGAAGGTGCTATCAAAGACATTCTTCTTAAGCAGAATTCGACTTCTGGACTTACCCTCATCTATCCAACAAACCAAAATAAGTAAGCTTTCTCTATTCTTATTATCATATATCTTCAAGAAAAATTATTAAAACTTTGATATAATGATTCTTTTTTTTGTTTCTGTTATTGTTAGATGGAACAATCGTATGTCGGCGATGGTACCAAATGAAGATGTTATTTATGTATTCGGACTACTACCAACAGCTAACCAACATAATTTGCCAGAAGTCGAACGCGTTAACGAGAAGATAGTTAGATTTTGCAAGAAGTCGGGTATTAAGATTAAGCAGTATCTAATGCATTACACCAGAAAAGAAGATTGGATTGAGCATTTTGGATCGAAATGGAGTGATTTTTCCAAGAGGAAAGATCTGTTCGATCCCAAGAAACTGTTATCTCCAGGGCAAGATATCTTTTGATTAAGTAACTTAAATATATGTAATCGGAACAAGTAAGGAACTATAAGATTTAAGATCAACCGGAATTAGTAATGAACAGTGTACTAGACTACAGCCAAACATATTTATTCTCCCTGGTGGCTCGTGAAGATTATTTTGTGGTTTATATACCTCTAACTATGTAAATAGGGTTGCAAGAATTTTCGATTGTTTAAAAAGGTTAATATGGTGCATCTTTTTCCAGCATTGTCATTTTGTTTAGGTGCAATTGCTTTTAGGAATTGTTTTAAGATTGATTGCTTTCAGAAGTTAGTATTCAGACAATGTGTTTTGGAAAAAATGTGTCCACATCGATTTAGACATAACTTAGATTCAAAACACTACTCAGTGACATTGATTATTGCATTACTATTTGGGGAATTAGAAGTTTCTCTTAAAAGGATAGACTCACTGGTGTTGTTTGCACATGTTTCAACAATGTTACGTCTATTTTATTTGCTACGGTTAGCTTATGTCTATGGCAAGCAATTGATTTGTCATGAAACGTTGTTGTGTGCTGTTCTTTTGTTGTGTGATTGTAACTACGTCTATAAAAACATCATTAAACCCTCTTCACCAAATGTGCTTGCATAAACTATGAAACAAATAAATACTATTTTAATGGAAATAAAACTGATTTGATTTTAACTGAAACAATGTTCTGTTTTTCCTCAAACATTATCATTCCCCTCCAAAACTACAAAAATTTGTCACCCATAGCAAAAGGTTATATGTTAAAATGTGATTAACTCACACCTAAATTACATGAGGAGAGAGGTAAACCGAGTCCAAACCGCATTAAACCAAAAGGAAGACTATTATACTACACCGGAGGTTTCTTCCGATCATGCTTCAACCACTGCAGCAGCAACAACTAGAGCTGGTGGTGGTGCTTCATCATCTGTGTTCTCAGATGAAACCACAACGCTCACCGAATCTTCTTCTTCCTCAGATTCAGATTCCTTATCTGCAGCTTCATCGGCGATGAGCTTGTCTTTGAGCTTGTTCATGAGCTCTTCTTGAACCGGTTCGTTGTGTCTCAGAAACTTCTTCAAAGCCTCTTTTCCACGGTAGTTAATCCCGTTTAGATTGTAGAACGTTCCGTTTTTGGCAATGAACTTGTGCGTTATGCTCAGGTCGATTATCTCAGTGGCCTTGCAGATTCCTTTCCCAAACTCAAGCTCAAAATCTGCTGTTCTGAATGGTGGTGCCAGTTTGTTCTTCACTATCTTCACACGGATTTGACTTCCCGTTATCTGCACAAGCATACACTCTCAGATTCTCTAACACACTAAATACACATCACAAACATAAAACCCAAGGAAACAAAAGGCGTAATATAGTAAATGTAATAGCTTTGAAAACAGAAGCTAATGCAGTTTATATACAATTCTTAGTCAAAAATCAAGAATTCAAGATTAGTATTTATCACAACTTAAGGAGGCAAAGAAGAGTTTTGATAGACACATCACAAACTTGAGGAGATGATAAGAAAAAAGTAAGAGCTTGAAACTCAAAATCTGTTAGAAGGTTTTGGATACTAACCTCTTCTCCTTTCTTGACAAATCCGATTCGCTTAATATTCAGACGCATAGAAGCATAAAACTTCAAGGCATTTCCACCACATGTAACTTCTGTCGGACCTCCAAATCCTCCAAATGTAGCTAGTTTTGCTCTCACCTGAAACATAAAAACATTGGCAAAGGAAATATAGCAGGAAACTGAACTACAAATATATCAACTAACAAAGTTCTTGTATACCAACCTGATTTATAAAGATGAGAAGCGTTTGCGATAACGATAAAGAGTGGCTCAATTTACGCAAAGCCTGGCTCATCAATCTGGCTTGCATAGCCATATGTGCATCACCCATCTCTCCTTCAAGTTCTCCTTTAGGTACAAGAGCAGCCACCTGTAAACACAAAACCACTCTTTGTCGTTAGGAGAGAACTATATAGAGCCACGGACCAAAATATGTGTCACCTCACTTACACTATCAACTACAATAACATCAACGGAACCACTTCGGATTAAAGTGTCTACAAGACTAAGAGCCTGCTCGCCACAATCAGGCTGTGACAGAAGCAGATTCTCTGTATTTACACCGATCGCCTTAGCGAGTGACGAATCAAGAGCATGCTCAGCATCTACAAAGACACATGTCGCTGCCAGCATCCAAAAGAACATCGTTCAGAATACAAAAAAACGGTTTGTGTAAAGAACATAGCTGAAGAATCAAGTAACTAACCTCCTTTTTTTTGTGCTTCTGCAATAACATGAAGAGCAAGTGTTGTTTTTCCAGAAGCTTCAGGACCGTATATCTCCACAACACGTCCCTACCGAATTTACAATCAACAGAACAATAAGAAGCTACACAGGACTCTTCAAAAAGACACAATTTTTGGGATATATATATATATACCTTAGGAAAGCCACCGACTCCTAAAGCTACATCGAGGGCAAAAGATCCGGTAGAGAAAACCGGAACATCTCGAGGAGAAACAGCGCGACCGAGCCACATGATTGACCCTTTGCCAAACGAGCTCGTTATCTGCTCAATCGCTTGCTTAAGAGCAATCTCCTTTTTCGACAAACCTTCCTCAGATGATCCATTTCCATCTGACTTAGACTTCTTTTTAGCTTCAAAAGAGAAACAAGTGCAGAGTTAAGATTGACAATGAGCCAAAGCAATCAGAATTCATCAAAATCATAAACCCAATTTCGGTAAAAAATTGTTCAATAGACATAAAGGTGAAAGCTTTAATTAACCTTTGGCAGCAAAACCTCGTAGCTGAAACGATGTGCCGACTGCACTTCTACTAAGTAGCTGCAAAAAGAAAACCCAGAAACAACAATAAGGTAGCGAATTCAAGCAAAAAAAAAGCGGATTTGACAACAAAGAGTCAACATTTGGGATTTTTCGTTTACTTAATCAGAGAATTTTGTTCCTCGCAGTAGCCAAGTCGGAAACAGTATACATACCTCTGAAGAGAACAGAGACTGTCTCAGTGAAGACAAGTTTCGGATTATTCTCGCCATGGAAGGGCAGCTTCTATCTGCAGTTTTCCACTGAGTAAACAGAAAAAATGGAGAATTTTCGAACTACCCAGAAGACAGAATCATACGAACAGGATTTCGAACTGGAGAAAGAAGAGAAACGCAGAGAAAAAACTTGAGAAATGAAGAGTTTTTTAGGGTTTTAGGTTCTCGTTTTCCCTCCTGTCAAAGACACACACAAGACACAACACACAAGTCCCCACGGAGGTTTTGTCCAAGTGTTTTCAAAGGGAAGCACGAACCGACGTATCAACCAGCTCATTGGTTGGTTTATATAAACCGAGAAATTAGATTGATCGGTTTCAGTAATTTTACGGTTTGGTAAATCTTCTAATGACTCTTGAGGGAAACAACCAACATTCCTTACAAGATCATTATAAGCTAATTTGGTGAAGTTAAAAGAAATAAGGAGAATCAGTTGGTTATCATAGTGCAGTTTCTAGTTAAAACCAAACCATTTCACAAAGAGGCATTAAAAAAATGAGTCAAAATTTGACCAGAACGACATAATCATATTAATATTGCTCAAAAACCAGTTCACCGAGAAGAGAACACATTACAATTGAAAAAAAAAGATGCAAACCAAAACAAACCAAAAAACCAATTCTTTTTATAGAAAACCACCACCCACTCAAAGACGTGACTCTTCTTTTCACCGGAGAAGAAGATTCCTCACTGCTGCTTACACTCCGGTGGCCTCTCACCTTGTTGACCTTCCGCAACTTGACTACTTCTTCCAGCCTTCTGTTCACATAAATAAACACAAACACAGATTTTTAGAGAGGCTTAATCTTATATAAGAAACAGAGTATAGCAATCAATCAAACCAAATGTTGCCTACCTTCTTTCTGTTCTTCTTTCCTTGCTCTTCTTCCTCGTCATCGTCTTCATCTTCCTCATCATCATCTTCATCATCTTCCTCTTCCTCCTCATCATCTTCCTCTTCCTCCTCATCATCTTCCATCAGGTCGTCTGGATCGACAGCTTCACCAGTGAACCATGACACAGCATGCGAGATGATCTTCTCTTTAATGGTTGATCTACAGGATAAACAGTGGACAACAGATTCAGATCCTATAACTGAATATAGCAAAAGCAAAGACATTTGAAGATGAAAGGTACAAACCCGATTTCGTAGTCCTGCTCCATTTGTCCCTGGAGTTCATCAGCCTGTGCAAGATTAACGTTAAAACTCATTCTCACAAGTACTAAATCGGAAATTAAACTAACTCTTGGGGATGACCACATACCATCTCATCATCAAGATCCTCGTCGTCGTCAGGAACTTGAGGTGGACTGAAAAAGTTGAAGAAACTCTCGCAGTCCTCAGTCTTGGTGATCGGCTTTGTGTTTTTGGATCCCTTCTTTGGCTTCTTTTTTAGGATCTTCTGAGTCAAGCATTTTCCAGGATACCACTCAATCTCCGTCCTGAACATTAGTCAAGGATCAATAAGACATCTCTTGTCTTAAGAAACAAAAACAGTTTTGATAAGTAAGGATAAAGCAAAAGATTATATATTTCTTACCCAATAGCCTTCTCGAGGATAGGCTCATCTTCATCAATCATGTGGTATGTCTTGGACAAGACAGTGTTCTTGAAGTAAGTGTTCTGATCAAAGAGAAACTCGAGCTTGAATCCTTTTGGTTCTTCAACTCTATTCCACTTGATATCTTTAAGATACTTGAGAGCACCTTCATCTCTCTCGGTTACCTAGAATCATGGACAAAAGGAGAGATTAAGTTAAAGAGAACCGCCTTTTCAGACAAAAACAAAAGAGAGTGTCCTAATAACGAACCTCCTCAGCAGTAATGCAATAAGCCAGAAATGAGGTACTCCTTTCTCTGCACAAAAACAGATTTTCGTAATCATTAGAAACACGATTACTGTCATATGAAGCTAAAGAAAACAAAACCAAAGTTCAGTGGTAAGTAATTGATAGCACACCTTCAGCTTTCTCTTCTCCTTGTTCTGCTTTTACTTCTTCCGGTGCACCTTCAACTTCCACCACACCGTTGACAATCTCTATCGCTGTATGAGATTACAGACATTAGGAAAGCAGTATTAGTGGAGGTTTCATGTATGTATAGGAAGCTAAAGAGCACACAACGTAATCAAGACAATATTCAAACCTTGGTATATAAAGGCTGATATAACTTTTGGTATTTAGCTTCTAGTGCCCTTTCCTCGAAGAATTTTTCTTCCATTTCATCGTATTGGTTCTACAAAAGTAAAATGAATAAGGAATCAGATAAGTTTACTCCAACAAATCGCATTAGACAAAGCAGCCAACTAATTCATAATCATCTAGATGGAAATTTACTCACTTGGATCTCTCTTAGAACCTCAACACGCTTCCTGACTGTCGGTGTCAAGTTTTCAAGGACATCTGAGTGTGGTCCAGCCAAATTCTGCAACTTGTTCTGCACAAACACACAAAACAACAATCAAATTAGGATGCCAAGACAATCCTCAACCCAAAGTCCATTGCTCTAAAATCATTCAAGATAAATCAACTCTCACTAACGCTACTAAAGTTATGTTGAAACGAAAAATAACAATCAAATTAAGTTGCAGAGACAATCCTCAAAACTATAGAGAAGAAATAAAACCGAAATACTCTAAGACCCAGAAAGAGAAAACAATTCCTTAAGAGCAGCAATAAAAACCCAAATCGTCAGTTAAAACTCACCTTAGGAGCATTAACAAGCCCTGCTCGACCCTCCTCGTTAAGAGCTGCACAGCAAACACAAAGAGATAGCTTTTTCAATCAATCTAGAAGGAAAAGAGAGCAAATGAAACAGGTGTCGTTCAAGAATAATATGATAGAATTATACCGGATGTGAGATCGCTCATGTTCAAGTTGTCCTTGTCGTTGCTCATCTTCGCAAGAAAAGAATCTGGCGGAGGAAGAGGAAGATAAGAAACCTTAAAACCCTAGATTTTGGGGATAGTAAGCGAGAAAAAGACTTTCGTGAGAAATTATAACTGATCACTTTTATAAGACCTAAGCGGCAATATCTTTTTTTTTTTCCTTCATTTTAATATTTGTTTCCGTAATTTGATTAAACTGAAATAGTTAAAGCCGTGTTTGGTCCTTATGAGGCCCAAACTCATTACATAAACTGATTTGTGTTTTGTCCGAAGAAAATTAAAAAATAAAAACATTGACTAAAAAAAAAGAGACTGATTTCCATTACCAAAAAAAAAAAGAGACTGATTTGTATTTAATTTAATTAGTGATTTCAAATATCTTGCCAAGATAGATACTAAGCCTATAAAATCGAATTTAATCATTATCTTATATTTGAATTATAAAAGAAAAATATGTGAAAGATATGCCAATTTTTTTATAGAATTCGTAGAGAATATTTCTTTAATATATATATATATATATATATATATATCTTCTTTTTTTTAAAAATGTTACAGAGCAAAACATTATATTTGCACTGCAACGCGTAACAAGTTCGATTCTCAAGCAAGACACACTGAGAGAAAGAGATTAAAACACAAAAAAAAAAAAAAAACAATTAGACTTCGAATGAAAGAAAAGAGAAAAGAAGAAAGAGAAAGACCAGTAGGAAAGCGACACGCGGAGGTATTCTTCATCTTCCTCTTTGTCTTTGGATTTTCCTCTCAACTCCCTTAATCTCTCTCTAAATTCCTCACCTAATCACTCTTCCAATTTCTCCAGCAAACTAGTCGAATTCGCCTCCTCTTCTCCGTGAAAACCCTCTTTGCTCCGCGTTTTTCGCGAACTTAAGGGTTTTCCACAGTCGTCGTCGGTGTTAATTCTCGATGGAACCTCGTATCGGGAGTAAGTTCCGGCTTGGCCGGAAAATTGGCAGCGGCTCATTCGGAGAGATTTACCTCGGTATGGATTCTTAAACTAAGGTCAATTAGTCATATTGAACAATCTCTTCTTATTTAACTGTGTCTCACTTTCGATTTTTTTATTTGATGATTGCAGGAACTGATGTCCAGACTAACGAAGAGGTCGCTATTAAGCTGGTGAGTGTTTGAAATTTGAAATTAAAGTCCCAATTTTGTAGGTTTGGATCATTGAAAAATTGGATTTTTACGGTGTAATTGTGCAGGAAAGTGTGAAGACTGCGCATCCGCAATTGTCATATGAGTCGAGGATTTATAGGGTTCTTCAAGGAGGGAGTAAGACATGTTTTTTTTGTTTTTTATGAATTCTCATTTAAATTGTAGCTGTTTTGCGGTTTATTCATCTGTTATGTTATGACGAATAATGCAGCTGGGATTCCAAACATGAAATGGTACGGTGTTGAAGGAGACTACAATGTTCTGGTGATGGATTTGCTTGGTCCAAGCCTTGAAGATCTCTTTAGTTACTGCAACCGGAAATTCACTTTGAAGACTGTTCTCATGCTAGCTGATCAAATGGTATATTATGCTCTGTGGATTTGATTGATATTGCATTGTAAGTTGTAACTATCAATGTGGGTGTTTTAAAAGAACCTTTTTTTGACAGCTGAATCGTCTCGAGTTTATACATTCGAAGTCGTATCTTCATCGTGATATAAAGCCTGATAATTTCCTCATGGGTTTGGGAAGGCGAGCCAATCAGGTTCTCTTTCTTACTTTCATTAGCTCCAACATTAATTATGATTTTGGGACCTCACTGTTTTGTTCTGTCTCTGTAGGTTTACATTATAGACTTTGGCTTGGCTAAGAAATATAGAGACAGCTCCACTCACCGACATATCCCATACAGGTAACAAGTTTCACCTTTTTCAGCAAATCTGATGTCAGATTCAGATTTTTTTTTTCTGACAGTGAGTTTGTTGTTATTCAGGGAGAATAAAAGTCTAATTGGGACTCCGAGGTATGCCAGCTTGAACACTCACATAGGAATCGGTATACTCCAAAACCTCCTGATAATTGCAGATCTTTGTTCTCTTCTTTCAATGGGATAATTTTTCTTATTCCAATCTTCTGTTTATTCTGTAATTGATAGAGCAAAGTCGGAGGGATGATCTAGAATCACTTGGATATATCTTCATGTACTTCCTCATGGGAATGTGAGTCTTCTTTGCGTAATCTTTCTTTCTTTCTATCTTTGTTTCTTCTCTATCAATCCATCTCTCATCCTATATTTTCTTGTAGTCTCCCATGGCAGGGGCTGAAAGCTGGGAACAAGAAACAGAAATACGACAAGATTAGTGAAAAGAAGGTTTCTACTTCCATCGAAGTAAGTTTTCTTCTCAAATAGTTCACTTTCAGTAACTTATGATGAAGTAGAGAAGGTTGATTTATATAGAGAGAGTACTGTAACTTTGAATCAATGAATTTTCAGGCGTTATGCAGAGGTCATCCAACAGAGTTTGCATCCTACTTCCATTACTGTCGGTCGCTTAGGTTTGATGATAAGCCAGACTATGCATATTTGAAGAGACTCTTCCGTAACCTTTTCATCCGCGAAGGTCATTTCATTTTTCTCTTTTTCCTCTTCCTCAAATTCACACAGAAGCTTCTGTTGACACCTAACTTGTTGTCTGTTCTCAGGTTTTCAGTTTGATTTTGTGTTTGACTGGACGGTTTTAAAGTATCAGCAATCACAATCTAGAAACCCTTCTCCTCGTGCCAATGTATACACTCTTGCTTCTTTGAACTTTGCATCCCATTCATGATACAGAACAACTAAACAATGCTTCTTTTGTCAGGATGGTGGCGTTGGAACCAGTTCTCGACTTAACCCTGCGGTCAACAATGCTGAGAAGCGTCCAGGTATGTAACTCTCTATGCTTGTTCCTTGAGAGCAAATGCATTTTTGCCACATTGTTGTGTATATACTTAAAGGACGTGTTTGTCTGCCATAGATGTCCCAAATCAGAGAACAAATCCGGATTTCACCCTAAAGCAGAAGACCAAGAACGTGAATGAATCTGCAATTGCAAAGGACACGCTGGTAAGTTTTGTTGCCATGCTTCTTCTCTTCTCGAGTTCCTTAGTTACTAATTCATCATGTGATCCATTCAACTCTCAGATACCTGGATCCTTCCACTTGGGTCGGTCAGAAGGATCATCATCAAGACGAGTTGTGGACTCAAGTAGTCGTGAGCCGTTCAGTGTTGGTGGGAGTGACAATGCAAACTATGAATCCGCACTCAAAGGCGTTAATGGCTTGCGGATCAGTAACAGTGGAGGCGATGAGACTGCACCATCGCCGCAATCAAATGGAGACGATGTTGTTACTAGTACTCGTGTAGATTCCAAAACAAAGCTCTCAGACTGATTCATACATGACTCTTTAAAGACAACACCGGTATTCACTTTGTTGTTTGTCTCAACCTTTGAGAGTTTGTTGTCTATGATTCTTCTGAAGAAAGTTTTTTTTTTTTTTTTTGGTAAACAGTTAGAGATTTGATATAAGAGAGAGATAGAGATTTATTTATACCAACGTTATTAAATATGGATCTTGAGATGTTCATTTGTCTCATCCATTGTATAGAGAAACCTTCTCGAATTTAAGATCCTTCTCTCAAGTGCATTTTTCTTTGATTTGATTTTGTGACCAAAACCTATTTTAGTTTCTGTGTGGACTACAAAATATACAAGATGGTTTTGAACATGTAAATCTTACAAGATTTTGATGAACAAACACTATTTGAGTCGTAAGCAAACTCGACTGAGCCCATTAAAGGCCCAATCCTCCAGTAATCTTTCATTACTGTTTAATACAACGGTAATATTTCAAAAAATGAGCCGTTACGAGCTCTTCTTTTTAAATTTTATCGATTCTCACATATTTTAGCATATTACTTAGTTTTTTCCTTCTCTCACATCTCTTATTCTTATTCACCACCAGAGAGAGTTTGATCTCCCAAAATAAACTTCTTGTTTTTAGTCATTCTTTTCACTCCAACTGATCGTATTGAGTGCTTTACAATTTTGCAGGATCAGAGATTAGTGAACTGAGCAAAACTCAAAAGGAGGTACCTGAAACATCTTTCCTCACTCTTCCCCCAAGTTTTCATTTACATCTCCAGTTAAGTATACATGTACATTGTTTCTATCTTTTCTCCAAGATTTTCTATTTTCAGTAAGATTGATGCGCTTAGAGTGAGAGAGTGATCTTAGACTTGTCTGTTTTGTTCAATGAATCATTTACTTGTTCACATTGCTTAATTAATTACATGTTGTACATTGTTAGTTTTCCTGCTGTTAATCTAATTTGGTTAAATGGGATTGGTCAGGTTAATACACTAAGCTTTAGAGTGAGGCTCTTAGAGAAGCCATTAAAACAGTCAAGAGAAAACATGAGGAGAAGAAACGTAACTGTTTAGGAGATTCTACTCCGTATCATTTGAAACGTTTATTTTTTGTTTCGTAAGCTCTTCATTGATGTGTTTTCTTCTGAAATTGTTAATTATGAGTATCGGATTCAACCTTCACTTTTTATTACTCAATCAAGTTTAACTAGTGTATGTGTGTAAACGTTTGTTCGATAGTTGCTTCTGACATCCTTTTTAATTTGGTCTCTCCAATTTTGGCGCAGGTTTGTGACACACTTTGGTGCTTAATTAACGAACACACATTTGTTCGATAACTCTCTAAAATAAACGAGACAAAGGTCAAAGGATCGTACAAGTTTAAAAGAAATTAAACTGGTCTCTTGATTAAACCACCGTTTCCCAAAGAACTAATTCATTCTGAACTCTTATCAAAACAAATGAAAATAAAAAAAATCCGCCCATTGCATATGGTAAAGTGGTAAATAAAAAAAGCAAAGTAGCACATAACTTTTCATTTTTTTCAAAATATTTTATAAACTAATAATTTATGAAAACTCTTTAACATTTTTTAAGTTTTATAAGAGACAAGGGTTTAGTGTTTACAAAGGTTTAAGGTTTGTAAGGTTAAGGTTTATAAAGGTTTAGGGTTTATAAGGGTTAGAGTATAAGGGTTTAGGGTTTAGGAGGGTTTAGGGCTTTTACGGGTTTAACCCTAAACCCTTATAAACCCTAAATCCTTGTGAACCCTAAACCCTCGTCAACCCTAAACTCTCGTAAATAACCCTTATAAACCCTAAACCCTTGTGAACCTTTATAACCCTAAACCCTCGTGAACCCTAAACCCTTGTGAACTCTAAACCCTTATAAACACTAAACCCTCGTGAACTCTAACCCTTGTGAACCCTAAACCCTTATAAACCCTAACCTTTATAACCCTAAACCCTTGTAAACCCTAAATCCTCGTGAACCCTTATAAACCCTAAACCTTTGTGAACTCTAAACCCTTATAAACCCTAAACCCTTGTGAACCCTAAACCCTTATAAACCCTAAACCCTTATGAACCCTATTCTTATGAACCCTAAATCTTTATTTGCCTGCCCTAAACCCTTATTCACCGTTAACTTAGACCATTTTTCCTAATTCTAATTCGGCTTAACCGTTTTCCCTAAGTCGGCCTTATTTTATTTGTCTTAATCCATCTTTTAGTAACCTGCTGTATTTCTTAATCCATGTTTGTATTGTTTTTACTTTTTAAACTATTTGTTTTTTTTCAATAAACGTCATCATTTATTACCTTTTTATTTTTCCTAACTCTTATACCCTAAACCCTAAACCCTCGTAAATCCTAAGCCCTTATAAACCCTAAACCCTTGTGAACCCTAAATCCTTATAAACCCTAAAACCCTTGTACACCCTAACCCTTGTGAATTCTAAACCCTTATAAACCCTAAACCCTTGTGAACCCTATTCTTATGAACCCTAAATCTTTATTTGCCTGCCCATCCTTATTCACCGTTAACTTAGACCGTTTTTCCTAATTCTAATTCGGCTTAACCGTTTTCCCTAAATCGGCCTTATTTTATTTGTCTTAGTCCATGTTTTAGTAACCTGCTTTATTTCTTAATCCATGTTTGTATTGTTTTTACTTTTTAAACTATTTGTTTTTTTTAATAAACTTCATCATTTATTAGCTTTTTATTTTTCCTAACTCTTATACTCTAAACCCTTATTCGTTGAAATGTATTATTTACCCAAAACTTATTTCGCCTCAGATCTTAACATACTTTACCTAATTTGGTCTAACTGTTTTCCTCCAGTCATCCTTATTTTATTTATCTTAATTCTAATCTGTTTTATTTTTAATAATCCATGTTTGTAGTGTTTTTACTGTTTAGATCATTTGTATTTTGTATAAACTTCATCGTTTTATAATTTTTCATTATTCCAAAATATTTGGCTACTTGTAGACTAATTTAAATTTCTTGGTCCTCTCTGGTTCGATTTTTCACCTTGTGGTGTTAATCCGGTTTGGTCTCTTTTACTCTCTGTTGTTATCTTATGTCTGATCGAGAGTTCATTTCGCCTTGGATACTTATGCCAGTTAGGACTATTTGACGTGTTGGAAGGCTAGTGTTTTTGAATTGCTAGGTAGTTTGTGTGCTTGCAGGGAAGGGAAGTTTCAAGTCTCTGTGACCGTAGTTTGGTCGAGTGTGCATTTATGGTGAGGGTGAAGTTTCTTTGAAGGTTCTCCAGAAGTTTGAAGCAGGTTTTGGCTGGTAATAGTGTGAGTTGGTGTTGTTCTTCATTTAGGTTTGAATCTTTCCTTTCTTCTTCTTTAGTTTCATAGGTTTAGTTTGATTGTTGTTGTGTTGTAAGGTTTAGTTTCCCTTTTGTGGGCTTCGTTTCTGGTGTTATTTTTTCTCCAACTTGTCTTCGAGAGATTATTTATATCGTCCCGCTTAGTTTTTCATCTTATGGTCTCAGTGGTTTGGTTGATTGGTGTGTAACACCTTTCTCAATACAATATAATTCTAGATAGGAAAAAAAACTAGACTAATTTAAAGTACCGTTTCCAAAAAAAACTAACATTTAACTTTCCCGACCATTGCGGATGCTAACGTGATATATCATTAGACACGCACAATATGAAACAAAACTATTTTACCAAAAAAAAAATATGAAACAAAACTACTTCTAAGAACACGATAATAATAACTTATGGGTGTTTCAAATGATATAAAAATGTGTAATCAATCAGTTACACCTTTAAAAATACACAAAAGCTTTCTCAGTGATCATTTCTGAAATCCAACAGACTCTTCGCTTTCGTTTGGACTCTCTGTCTCGTGAACAGCGTAACCTTCCTTCAGTTGTCTCTTTTTTAACCACTTGGTTTACTTATTTTAGGAGGTTGAGTTGTAGGAGGTTCTTTCTTTTTAGTTGCTGGTCAGCTTGTTGATCAGTGCAAAAGTTTGTATCTTTTAACTTTTAATGAATTTCAGTTCTCGAAAAAAAAAAAAAAAACACAAAAATGTAGAAAACATTCACGACCTCATTATGTAACGTGTCATTATTTTTGAATACCAGATCAGTTACGAATATTGCCAAAAATAATGTAAAAGAATGAATCACTCATCTCATCTTCAATCTAGCTAGTAGTATAAAAATTCTTGGTAACATCTTATAGCTCTATTTATTGTTCTTACACAATCACTACCACAAACTAAGATATTTGAACACACACAAATCATCGAATTTATAACATTAATAAACCCCAAAAGTTTATTATCATAAGCAGTTAAGCACATTGGTTTAATTAAGCAGTTTGTTGCATCTATCTTTGATCCACTTGAAGCTTTTCCTTAAAGAACCTTTAAGCTTACCTTCAGCGGTGTAAGCTCTGTAACTCACAACTCTCTTCTTCCTCAATAAATCTGGATCCACAAATCCCCATGAGGACGATGAAGAAGAAGAAGATCTTCCTTTCTTAGGATTCGGGTCCTCTGGTACTCGGTTGGGGTAATCCGTGTAGGAAGTGCTGTAAGACCTGAGATCTTGCATACCATTACCACCGTTAACCCCAAGTGAATCTGGACCGTCGGATCTTCGGTTTGTGGAGTATTGTTGAAGGTCTGATGATCTTCCGTCAGCGTACGATCTGGATCTGAAGTCTTCCATTTTTGGACTCAGAAGATGAGAAGAAGAAGAAGTGATGGTGGGGGAGGGTTTTGTAATAAAAGTCGATGACTGGCTTTTTGTTTTTGTTTCTTTCTTTTACGAGAAGGAAAGAATCTTTTGTTATATATACGTCATGTTTGTTTTTTGGGACTGATTTTTGTGATTAAGAATGTACTGTTCTTGAAAATATATAGTCAAAATTCCTGAAAGATTAATGAAATTAACAAATAATAAATTGTTTGCTGTTATTTTGTAATAAAACCGACTATATCAGAGAAAACTGCAAATAAAAAGAAGAAGAAAGCTAACGTATTGCAGTTTCTCTACAAAAAATCTGATTATTATTTGTTTGATAATAACAATATTTATAAATTATTTTATCTCTTTCCATGACATAGCTAATGTTGATTTCCTCTGGTAAATGGTAATTATAAAGCTTGGAAAATGTCCCATATACATACATTAATTCAGTAGATTCACGTGTATTTGTTAATAGAACAAAGTACTAAAATTTCTTCTGCACAAAACAAAAGTAATCAAATTTCAGATAGCCTTCTCAGTATGAAAATTAATACTCTGCTAATTCAATAGTAATAATATTCATACGTTACTTAATACTCCAATTTGTTTTTTGGTCAATAAATAGTCACTATTAAATCATAAATATACAGATTTAATTAGAGACTGCCAAGTCAACATGAGGTGATGACTGCTGAGTCAGTTGCAGCTGTCGGCGAGTCGGTGGAGTAATTTACTTCAGTTCCAACTGAATTTCTTGCTATGTTTGAACAGTTGCTCCACGTGATCTCTTGTTTACAGCATTCCTAACATAAATCTCTTATTTTTCATTTCATTTGTCCAAAAATAGAAACTTATTTTTATAATTTTCTTTGTTTTTCAGTTTGATCAGGTGTTAGCTAATCATGGATATATATATATACGAAATGTATGCATGCTAACCGACTGTAAGAGAAGCTAGTCAATTAGCAAGTCGAGAAATCCAATTACGCTGAAATGTCCGAAATAGATGTCAGTGGGATCTATTTATAATTTATCTATGCAAATTGCTAAAGACTTGAGCGTTATTAAAGTTAGTTACGAAAGCTGACAAACAAAATATAGAAAACTTGTCAATGATTTGTAAGAAAACTCAAGACAAAGTTGATAACTTGGTAGTTGGCACCACATCTTAAAAGTCCTATCTACATTAGCCTTTCATATTGACATAATTTGTAGGATATACAATCCAGTAGCCATATCAAATGTTACTTTTCATAGCTTTCTGTAGATTCTAAGATTTATATATCCGAAGTATGATGTTTATTTAAGTGTAAAATCTCGTCTCCTTATATACACATACGGTTTTAACAATTACGCGAAACATAAGTTGGATGCCACTAACGGGACCACACCAATCAACTTGATTTGATTTCACACAGTCCCAATGCAACCTGTCACATCTGTCTTCAAAAGTCGACAAAAAGTTTTTACCCGATTTGGTCCTAACA